CCATGTGTACTTGAACACTTAGAGTCACAACACTTGTACTGTTTCTTTTTGTTTTTGGTGCAATTTCTGTGATTGCCCCGTGCGAGGTACAACTTCTCTGTGGGCCACGTCCTCAGCATTGGGAACGTGCCATCATGTGTCCTCCCACCCATCTCATTTGTACCAGTTAACTTCCTCCGTAAGCTGAAGCCGAAACTGTCGGTGCGACGTCCTCAGCTGGGAGTCTCTTTTGTTTGTGCTCTTGGAGCCGGGTCATAACTGCAGCGAGAAATGTGAAAGAGTAGTCAGAGTCGCAACATTTGCGACTTTTTATCGCGAGACAGTCTCACGTGTCTGTGATTGCCCCGCGCTAGGGACAACGTCTGTGTGGGTGATGTCCTCAGCTGGGAGCCTCTTTTCTTTTTTGGTCAGCGAAGGGTGGTCTTGTTTGTGTCTAACTGTAGTCACAACACTTGTACTGCTTCTTTCTGTTTTTGTCGCAACTTCTGTGGTTGCCCCGTGCTAGGTACGCCTTTTTTGTGGGCCACATCCTCAGCATTGGGAACGCGTCATCATGTGTCCTCCCACCTATCTCAGTGCCCCCACGCTAAGTACCACCTGCCTACTTCTTTTGGACGCGGCAAAGCATGTACCGCGAATAGTCCATGTGTACTTGAACACTTAGAGTCACAACGCTTGTACTGTTTCTTGTTGTTTTTGGTGCAATTTCTGTGATTGCCCCGTGCGAGGTACAACTTCTCTGTGGGCCACGTCCTCAGCATTGGGACCGAGTCATCATGTGTCCTCCCACCTATCTCATCTGTACCAGTTAACTTCCTCCATAAGCTGAAGCCAAAACTGTCGGCGCGACGGTCCTCAGCTGGGAGTCTCTTTTGTTTGTGCTCCTGGAGCCAGGTCTTATTCGTGTCATAACTGCAGCGAGAAATGTGAAAGAGTAGTCAGAGTCGCGACATTTGCGACTTCTTATCGCGAGACAGTCTCACGTGTCTGTGATTGCCCCGTGCTAGGGACAACATCTGTGTGGGTGATGTCCTCAGCTGGGAGCATCCTTTTTTGGGGGGTCGGCGGAGCATCGACGCCTGTTCTCTTGGAGCCAGGTCTTACTGAGAAATGTGAAATGTGAAAAAAGTAGTCAGAGTCGCGACATTTGCGATTTTTGGTCGCGAGACAGTCTCACGTGTCTGTGATTGCCCCGTCCTAGGGACAACGTCTGTCTGGGTGACGTCCTCAGCTGGGAGCATTTTTTTGGGGGTCGGCGAAGCATCGACGCCTGTGCTCCTGGAGCCGTGTCTTATTCATGTCTAACTGTAGTAACAGACCGCAAGAAGCACGTGTGAGAGGTCACGCTCAAGCGTCACCCAGCCCTTGCAATGTCCTTTTTGCCACCTCAGCTCTTTTTCCGTATGTAGTCTGGGTCGTCACCGACCCTTCTTTGCCTCTCAGGCCAGCGAGACAAATAGCGATCAAAGGCCTGTGTCCACAAATAAATTCTTGCTGCAACATTCACATAGTAGCCCGCGTTTTCCTCGTGCTTCTTGAAGCAAAAGAGGCGCCAATCATCGTTGCTGAAGAAGCGCCCATTCCTGTCAATCACTTCAAATCGGAGCTCTGGATATTTTGCAAGTGGGTCCACTCTACCCTGATCAAGGTCTTCGATCAAATCGGCGATCCATTGTCGTCTTTCATGCTAAACGGCAGCGCGGGTCTGACGCCGTCAGCTCAGAGCATGTTTAGGAATTTGTGCTCCTGGAGTCGAGAGTAGCACGCTGATGGTTAAAGGGAGACAGCTGGATAGGGAGCGCATGTGGTAGGAGAGCAATCAGAGTCACGACGCTTGTGGCGCTCCCGTCTTTTGGTCGCCATACAGTTGCACGTTTCTGCGATTCCCCCGTGCTAGGTACAACGTGTGTGTGGACCCAATCTCATTTGCGCTAGTTTCTTCTTTGGTCGCATGCACACTGCGGCGATCAACACTTGTAGTGCTCCTTTTTTTTTCTCGCGACACACTTTCGGTTCGACATTTCTATGCTTACTCCGCGCTACGCGCCACATCCTCAGCATTCCGACCCCTAATTCGCCGACGCCGCCAACCATCCCAATCAGGCGCAGGAGTGGCGACATCCTGCGCAGCTCCGTTGTGTCGGGAACATTCGGCGCGCAGCTTCGGAGACACCAAGTGGCTGGCGCTACTGCCACACGCGCACGCGCGCTCTGACATTGGTTTTCAGTTAATCTATTCCCAAGTGGAAAAAAGGCGAGGGAACGGCAAGGTGAAGGGTCCAAGCACTTGTAGATGTTTTAACAACGGAGTTTTCACTTGACTGCGGAAGCTCTCAGTGACGACGCGGCTGCAAGTCAGCGGTGGGAAAAAGGGTTTAGGGGGAAGTATCATGCAAGGACCATGGAAACAAACCAGGAAAGTAGACAGCGTGTACAAAAGTTCCAAACTGTCGCAGGTACACAATGCGGCGTCCCGCATTGCTTCACCACGAACTGACAGCGTCTTCGTTGGGCAATGTCTGTCAGTCGTGCATTGCCCCCCTGCGTTGAAAGGGATGAAAAGGTGCCGAAACTCTTAGTTACAGAGGTTGACACACACAGAGTGCCGAAATCGGCGCTCTGGAGGAACTTACTAACCACCTAAAAAGCCAGAAAAGAAAGACAGAAAGGAAAACGCAAAAGCAAGAAAGAAAGATAGGTGTAGTTACGAGGCCCACTAGTTATGAAACCTGCTAGTTACTGAATACTTAGCCGCATGAATTAAATGCACTAGTTTAGCGAGCGGGACATTCGTCTTAAACCGCCCGGGTAGCTAGGAGTAGAAAAGGAGAAACAGAAGGAAAGGTACCGACACACAAGTGTGTCGAGTACCATTTCCTTCTGTTATTCTAGATAGCGGGTGGGATTGCAAGGTGGGGGGAGCGCGTGGATGCGCATGTGTGACACATATTATATATATGGGCGCCCGGCGGCGTGGAAGGTGAGTCGATGGAAGTATTGGCGGAGAGATCGTAGGCCCGACGGCGTTGGGTTTAGGGAATCCAGAAGTGAAACAAAATTCGGTTAAGAGAATCCAACGTGTGCAGGAAACCGCTGAATCAGTTAAACGGTAATCCGGAGTGAAGACAGCGCCCCAGTGACGGGGATCACACACACCCAAGTGGGACGACTGAGCGGCTCACACTCTGACATTGGTTTTCAGTTAATCTATTCCCACGTGGAAAAAAGGCGAGGGAACAGCAAGGTGAAAGGTCCAAGCACTTGTAGATGTTTTAACAAAGGAGTTTTCACTTGACTGCGGAAGCTCTCAGTGACGACGCGGCTGCAAGTCAGCGGTGGGAAAAAGGGTTTAGGGGGAAGTATCATGCAAGGACCATGGAAACAAACCAGGAAAGTAGACAGCGTGTGCAAAAGTTCCAAACTGTCGCAGGTACATAATGCGGTGTCCCGCATTGCTTCGCCACGAACTGACAGCGTCTTCGTTGGGCAATGTCTGTCAGCCGTGCATTGGTCCCCTGCGTTGAAAGGGATGAAAGGGTAACGAAACTCTTAGTTACAGAGGTTGACACACACACACACGATATCAATCACCTCTTCCTTGAGACCAATCTTCTGTTAGAGGTCACAAGATGCCGATAATGCTCGGCCCACCGGCCAGCACCACCGGCATCACGAATGTTTCGTCCTATTTTCACCACCGTCAAAAAATATGGCAAAGCACAGCATTTCGTAATTCAAATTAGGCCCCCCCAAGCTAAAGATAGCTACAGCTTAAGATTTAATCTACATATCTTATTTCGATTTGTGCGAGCCGCTGCAACGCACCGGCACCTTCGGATGTGTTGATGTACTCATGTCCTCATTGTTTGTCACGCTTTTCGTTTCAGGTTTGTCGGATCAGCAGCCCATGCTGATGCACTGAAGCCGGGTGTTAGCGGCTTCGTGCGACACCACTTGTTCGTCCACAAGGGAAGGAAATGTCAGCGCTCAACACGGCACTACTTGAACCAAAGGTCTTGGGCCAGGCAAGACAAGAGAAGCAAGCTGCGCAGTGGTTTCTTTTGGATTTGCATGAAGGGACACTGAAGGAACCGTTAGTGCTATTGACATGATGTTTCTTGCCAATTCCTAGGAGTTCCTGACCAAAAACAGGGCACTTCCAAAAGAATTGATCCAGAAAACAAGCGCAGCCCCCTGGAATAGAATTGACATCAAGAATCCCCTTTGAGGTCAAAAAGGTATCCCGTGTGCTGGAAGAAACGATTTTTGTTCGCTAGGCGTTGGCACCATGTGCGCTTGGGCCCCGAGGATGCCCGCGATTGGGCTAGGCTAGGCAAATGACATGCATCAATGTCGTCAGAGGGGTCATGGAATGTCGACATCATTTGCATCCGGGCATCGTGAATGTGATTCATGGACGTATGACAAAGATTGACAAAGTATGAAGAATACAAACATTTGCTTCTGTAAACTATCATGATCACGGTATGGAGGAGTCGAAAGCTTGTTTTCCTGATTTTTTGACAAATTCAATGAATCTTTGCGCTGCCTTCTTGCCTTCAGGGTGGCCCGGCTCATCGCAGGGAAGGCCGTAGGCGTTTGCTTCGGCGGTGGTGGTGCCAGGGGCAATGTGCACTTTGGGGTGATCAAGGCAATGCAGGAGCTGGGCATCCCCATCGATGTGGTCTCAGGCACTTCCTTTGGGGCCTTGGCCGCTGCCATGTCTCCCGGAAGAATAAATGAAGAGAAACATTCAGCTGTCATAAAGGAACCTGTTGAGCAAGACTGGAAGATTCGTGCAAGAACAGTTGGTTGCAAAACCATAAAACATAGTCTTGCAGGAATGAACGTGTGTTTCAGGTATGCCATCAGCGCGCCCGAGCCCAGCTCGTTGCAACGTGTGGTGACTCGTGTGATGACCACGCAGCCACTTTGCCCGTTGCGGAAATTGAAAAGGAGGATCCCAAGTAGGCGAGGCTAAGGCAGAGTTACCAGGCCACAGGCCTCGTAATGATTTTGACATGTCTGACAGACACATTCTCCACACGGAAGCTGTTTTGAGGTTTTCAACACGGAAGCTGCTGTGGGATTTGACTTTTCCCCGCACGGCCAACTTCACTGGAGCGTTCCTCAACGCCATGCTGAAGCTTGAAGTCTATATAGCCTTGAGAAGCACATTGGAACCACCCCTCAGCTTTGAATATATCCACCATCATGAGAGGCATATGTTTCTAGGAACATGTTTTATAACTTCCAATATTTGGACATAGACGTCCCAACAATCACAAGAGAAAGCTTGGGTGCATGAACTATCTCTGCACTCACTCACAGATAAACTGTCAAAGAAAGATGACATCCACTTTTCAAAGGACTTTTCATTCCGCGCATGTTGGTATCTCTTTTGTGATTCGCTTTCCCAGGAAGGAGATCTTCGCGCGGCGGCGCTGTGAGGATCTATTGATCCCCTTCTCCTGTACGAGCACAGACATTGTGCAATTCGAGGAGAAGGCATTGCGGGTCGATGGTTGTAGGGTCAATCATGCTAAAGGAGCATATGTTTGCAAAGCAGTCACTCTTCCCAACGGCTTGTTAGACATCGCTTTTGAGCTTAGCAACGGAAGCTTTGAGTCAGTGAGGGAGAGTGACAGGTACACCGTGACGGGCCACTTTGGCGCGTAGTGCGAGCCTCGATGAGCTTGGTGGGAATAGCACCTCCGCTGCCACATCAGGAGAACCAATCGATGCCTGAAAGCGAGCGTTTCGTCGATAGGATGACATTCCCAGTTTTGAGTTGGAGTACTGCAGTAGATCCAGCAGACAGGAGCGAAGAGAGGATGGTAAGGTTTCTACTACCTTGCTGGTTGATGGCGGGCAGCTTGGCAGTTCTTTCAAGCGACGTTTGCACACAGTCGCTGGTTCACTTGACACATCTTAGACTTAGAGTTCAGAGAGTTGGCAAATTGCAGAGATCAGTTCCGAGGTATTCGAACCAGTATCCGATCGAAGTGTTGAAGGAGCATGGTGCTGGCATCGTTATTTGCGTTGAATGCTGCCCTGACTACTCCCCGGTTTGTCGCTTCGATGCGTTTGGTGAATAGTTCTCTTCCTGCATTGAGGTACAGACAACATGTAGAGCATCGCTTCCAGCCTTGAAGCTGCAAGCCTTGCTGATCTCTTTGACTTGTACTTTGCGCCGATCAGCTGGACTGAAAACAACAATGTCCATAGGCACCGACACTTGATTCATGGGATTCATCCACATTTGAAGGGGGTCCAAAATTGCAACCAGCTTGCAGCTGTCCACTCAGAACTGGGAGATACTGGGAGTATTTGAACGCATTGCTTCATCACGAAAGGTAGCCCCTAAGGGGATACCTTGAGTTTGTCTTGCGAAGCAAGTGTCGGCGTGTCCGGGTCTAATAATTGATAGTTCAATTCAACCCCCCCCCTTCGAATTGATTTCTCAATACAGACCCCCCCTCCCGCCCTCCGGGGAATTGATTTTTCAATACCGAGCCCCCTCCCTCTAAATTCAATTCTCTC